AAAAATGAACATCAGTTTTCTTTAAGACCACACTCCAGGGAATGGTCACACACCCAAGAGTATTTGAGTAGTACAAATTGTACTGGATGGAAATTTTGGAATGTTTTTAAGGATCATGAAGTTGGGCATTCAATTGTCCCAGCCACACATTATTACCTTAAAATTCTTTTCCCCAGAATTAACTCTCCAACCATGGAATGAAGAAAGTGTCTTATCAATACAATCTCCAGTATTGTATTTTTCTAGCAAGAGAAAAATGTCCACAGTGTACTCCCAGAAGCGATAACCCCCTATCCTTCAGAAGAGCTAAGTCCTTTTAACATTTCCTGTTCTATCATGAATTAATGTACACTCAGTCTCTGTACCCACTAAAGAACAAGTATTTCACGCATTTATAGAGGAACTCAGGTTGCCTTGTCTAGCCCTCAGTTGTGTGTAAACTTGCTTATTCCTTTAGGGGAATGGCTAGGGAGGCTCTCAGGCTTAACCTCAGCAGAGGGTGTAGTAGGAAACACTCAAGCTTCTTTTACCCTTTTATTGAACTGTTGTTCAGATCTTAAAGCCTTCTGAATGTTCACAAGCATTAATTCAGCTTCCTATCAATTTTCTTTCCTCTAGGGACTCTATCTTGACCTACTCTTGCCACTTTTGTTTTACAGGGACCAAGATAGATCTCACCATGTACCTTGCCTTTCTTTACCCCCTCCTGAGTGGTTTAGCACTTACAAAGTCAGTTTATATGCTACTTGTTGTGTTGACTTTTTCTAGAAAGATATGAACAAAAACTATTCATTCTATATAGGGTACCAATGTAAGTTTAGTTTCATGAACTGATGAGTTTAAATGGGGTTCTCAACTTACAGTGGCTACACTACTGAAGAAAAATACCCTTCCTTAGTAAATGTTTACCACTTACATATTCTTACAGACAAGTGGAACTTTGTGTGCCTTATGAACCTTCTATACAAAATTGCACCTGTTCTGATTTTTAAAAAGTATCAGTCATGTCATGTCTGGAGGACAGAGTTCTACAACAAAGGGATATTGGCACAACTTTTTAAAGAGAATTTGTCAATAGCTAACAAAACTATATATGTGATTTTCATTTGACCAAGCAATTACATCTAAAAAAATTTTAATTGAATGTATACATCCAACAATAGAAAAATAAGAATTAAAAAGATGGATCCTATTTTCTAATCTAATCTGTTAGTCTGTGCCTCTTAATTGGGGAAAGAAGACTACTAATATTGAGAGTTTTTAATTGAATAACCTAATGTATTTATATAAGAAAGTGGTTGAATAAATCATGGTTCACCCATTCAGTGAAATATCATGCATCAAAAAAAGAGACTAAGGAATATTTCTTACTCTATGTGGAGTGAAGTCTAATATATTTGTTAAATTAAAAAAGTAAAAGAGTACCTACCTATAGCATGATTTCTTTTATGTGTGACAGAGAAATAAAAACACAAATATGTGTTTGCTCGTTGAGGAAAAAAGATGACAGATAAACAAGAAAATACTGAAATATATTACCTATAGGCAATAGGTGGAAATAGAATGAAGAGAAATAGCATTTCTCTAATAATCCTTTTTTTTGTGTAGTTCTGAATTTAAAACTATGGTTTTTTTTTTAAAGTAAAAATGATGAAATACAAACTAGAATGTAATATAAAGGGAAATAAGCCAATTTTAAATTATTAACATAGTCACACTGGAAGAGAATATATAATCTAAACAGTTTAGGGATTCTATACTTTCAGGCATGGATGAGAATAATGTGAGTTGGATATCAGTGGCTTCTATGATTTCAGGCCACAAACAAAATAAAACTTTAAAAAAAATCCAGGTTTTGTTTTTACCATGATAATTTTAGCAACCCTAATTTATTTCTCTGTAGAGAAAATAAATAAGTATAAGTTAGAACTAAGAAACTTGTCTTTGGAGAAAAAAGTTACAAATATAGATAAAAGGAAAGATGGAGAAAATCTATGGTAACTGACTGAAATTGGAAGACAGCATGAATCAATGACAGATGTAAAGAAGGAAAAGGTTTATATAAAGATACACTGCATGCTTCATGTATACTTTTTCTTGTACTGTCTGCTGAGAAGGTAAAGAAGCAATGGTATGCCACTAGCAATGAGTGTAGTGTTCAGAGTTATGATTCTAACCACTATGAGAAAGCAAATTGAAAATATGTACCTTGATTTTAAAAAGAAGGAGAAGGAGGAGGAGGAAAGCAGCAGCAGCAGCAGTTCTTAGAGAAAAAGCAAATTCCAGTGGTGGGTTTACAGAATCACAAACTAAGTCTTGGGCATTTTGTTTTACCTGAACACAAGGAACATTTATAGGAACATTTATAGGAAATGGAAACACAAACACACACACACACACACACACACACACACACACACACCACAGAAACTACTTTGAGATCTACAGGGCAAACTAGGAACAATTTGGGAATTAAATAACTTCAGTGATAAATCATGACTCATTGAATAAATAAGATCACATTGATACAGACACTGATTTCATATTTGAAAAATGAATGAATAAACAAATAGAAGTGAAAGCTTTCCTTTACAGTGGAATACCAATTAATAAATATAAAATCAATGGTTGAATGCCATTTGGGAGTCGTAAGTGTAGTAGTTAAGACAAAAATCATTAATGGTCTAAAATTAACAGGTAAATTTTTTATTTTATATATGTTTATTTATTCACTTTACATCCCTATCACAGCCCCTCCCTCCTCTCCTCCCAGTCCCACTCTCCCTCTCTCTTTTCCTCCTCCCCTTCTCCTCAGTAAAGGGGAGTCCCCCCCCAACCCACATCAAGTCATATCAGGACTAAGTGCATCTTCTTCCCCTGAGGACTGACAAGGCAGCCAAGATAGGGGAAAGTGATCCAAAAACAGGTAACAGAGTATGTGTCAGAGACAGCTCCCACTCTAATTGCTAGGGGACCCGCAAGAAGACCAAGCTACACATTAGCTACATATGTTTGGAGGACCTAGGTCTAGTACATACATGCTCTTTGATTGGTGGTTCAGTCTCTGTGAGCCCCTTTAAATGAGGTATTTATAGTTTTGAAATGTTCTTACCCAAAAGAACTTGTTAATAATAAGGTAACTTTAATAATATGTTAATAATAACTGTTGTTAATGAATAACATTTATAGATGTTACTTTATAAATGTTACCTTAATAAATGTTATTGATAATAGTAACTTTACACTACAGAAACTTGGCAGAAACCTGCTTGTGTGATAAAAGTGATCACTGCCAATAAAAGGACCACCAGGCAACATGGTACCTCCAAATAAGCACACATCATCCATCCTCTGGTAGCTCTACCCAAAACTACAAAACTTCAATCTAATTGTGAAGAAACATTATATAAAACCAAACTGACTGATGTTAGTAACCAGCTTCCATGATGGCCCCCCTTCATCTTTGACTCCAGTATTCCATCCATGCGTAGTGTCTCTCTAGCACGGAGAAGAGCTGATCTTTGTTATCAGTAGATGGTTCTGAGAATACTGACTGCTGAGGAAAACATGAAAATCATGAAAAACATGATTCCGGCTTCTTTCTTTTTTTATTTAGAAGAAGTTAATTGTCATGAGGTGAGAAATTTCAATCCCTGCTACCCAGAAGCCTAGTGACAACATACAGATGGTAAAGAAATGTACCCAGCCAACAGCCACTGGGTGTGCATCTTATGTGTGACTTTTCTTGTCCCAGTCAACCAGGTGATTTGTAACTATTGTAACAGGTGATTCTAACTATCATTTGGACCACAATATCAGGGGAGATGGAAAATTGAGAGTCCAGTTAACTTGCCTCCAAGTTATGACTGTTGAAACTGGAAGGTACTATTTAGTCCTAGCACAAGAAAGGAGGGAGGGGGCTGACACAAGCAGATGGAACTTGCTGAACAATCAATCAGCTTATCGTAACCTGAAAGTTTAAGGGTCAAAGACAGACCTTGCCTCAAATAAGAGGGCAGAAAGCAGGTGAAAAAGACATTGGCACTAGTCTCTAGTCTCCATACACATCTTCATGCACACATACAAACACATGAACATGTACACTTACATATAACACACACACACATACACCTCCTACTTCCAAATTAATTTTTTTTTTTCAAATTAGGCAAAAGGAGACCTGAGAATCTAATACATGATCCTGAAAGGTGGATGGTTTTGTTATTATTAGTTATGGAGCAGTATCTTTATTTTTATACACATTAAAATATAAAAAATATTTAAAGGGGAGATAAATATCTAATTTATCTTAAGATATAAGAAATAACAATTACATAACACAATCACATACTTAGATATATACTTTTATATATCTCTATAACAGAGAGATAACATTTCTAAATTATTAACCTTGAGAAAACCCCTTCACAGATATACAGAAATTAAAATTTTCAATATTTAAAATTTGCAATACTAGGAAGTGTTAATCCTGAATTTCCACTTTAAGTAAACGTTAGTTTACGTTTGTTTTCTCAAACTAAGAGTTGACTACATTAATGGGGGTTGGAAATGAATACGCTGGAACAAAACCCAAAACGGGTTTATAGAATACAATACTGTAAATTAGCACAGCATACGATTTTAAATTAGTAGGAATGAGTATTATTTTGTGAAGTTCTTGTTTTAGACTTGGGGCGGGGTGTAGGGGGAATTAATGTATTTGGTTGCATAGCCAACAAAAAGTGGGAAAGTCAGGCGCTGAACCCAGACCGAGCCAAAAGAGGACTTCCCAGGGACCGCCCCTCCCTGTCTCTTCCGCCCCTGGCCACCTGCAGATGTGCTCCACAAATCTTCAGTACCCAGCGCTAGGCAGACGCTATTTAAGGTCCACTCCCCACAGCTTACAGCCAGCGGCAGCCAGCCAGCCACGTCGTTCTTCTTTCCTCGTTGGAGACTTTTAGCACAGAGAACGCAACCTGCTGTTGAGCCGCTGCAGTAGCATGGGAGCCTTGGGTTCACTCTGGGTTTTGTTCACTCTCATCACTCCAGGAGTTCTTGGTGAGCTGGGCACGGGGAGCGCAGATACGGGAACTCCTCCAGGTCTGGGAAAACTTCTGTGTCTACACAAAGGCTAGAGACCACACCAGGGATGTGGGGGCCTTGCTGTCCCTTACTTGCCTGTCCCTGGCAGCTTTGGAGACCCCCTCAGTCTCCGGAGGCAACCTCTTCTGGGAGCTAGATCACCATCATTGAAGGCTGAGCCACATGTGGGCGCTTTGGAATGCGACTGTTGCAGTGGTTGGGTGGTTTCCTCTCTCCTCCCTGGCTCTCAGCCTCCTGGGAATTCAGCAGAGCTCACACAGTCCCACTAAGGGTTCCAGACTGTGTCCAAGAATCACAGACTGCATGTGCTTCTAGGCATGCAGCTCCTATTTCTTTTCTTAATAACACCTGATTCTCCAATATGGGTCTCAGATTTTTTTTTTTAACAGTATATTTAAAAAACTAACTCTATTTAAAGTTGAACGTGAATTTAAACTATGACTTCTGTAATGGTGTGTGCTTCCATAGGTTCTCTTTTAACATTGAACAAGAAAATATGATTCTTGTAAAAGTTTTTTTGTGTGTTGTTGTTTCCTAAATTGGCTTGCTTTTAAAGTAGCTCAATTTATTCTGGGTAGTGAAAGCATACGTTGTAAGACATTTACTTCAAACAAACCTCAATAGCTGGGTGAATTTTGGCAAGTTGCAGTATAACTTGTTCTCATTGTGAATAAATTCATAGGTTATAAGATGTTTACTGTAACTAAACCTCAATAGCTGAGTAAATTTTAACAAGTTGGTTAGAGACCCTACCCTCAGTTTATAATATATGAAATGAAGTCAGAAATGAGCTATGCTAACATCCTATGGAACTGAGAGAAATCAGGAGCTGCCAGAGAAGTCAATGGCACTTGAAAGTTGACAATAAGTGTAGCAATTAGCAGCTAAGGGTGGATTGAGTAGTTACTGGGTCTGAATATTATGCATTAGTTCTGCTACTTTTTCTACTGGAAAAATAAATTCTAGGGATGGTTGGGCCTTGTTTCATGTTCACTGCTGAATGTCTTATGCTTAATACAATACTTTGGTTAACATACATGATTCTCATTTAAAAAAAAATGATCCATCAGATAGCCAAGAAACCCAGTATTAGGGCATTTGATGATAATTCTTAATAACGATCTCCCCCCTTCCTGCTTTCTGACCAATTTTTCAGATTTATTTTTATCCTACCCATAATCCTTCATCCACTTCCAAATGATTTCTAAATCATCATGTAAAGCCTCCTACATCTAAATAGTTAATTGCTCTCTGTCCTCCAGAAACATTTTCTGTGTTATATAGTCACTACTCTGATCTTCACTCCTGGTGGTAGAAAGAGGTAAAGAGGGACTGTCATGAAAATCTCTATCATGTAATAGCGTACAGACTAGCCTTTCTTTGAAATATTATTACATGTATTTGCTTATTGTGTGTGTGCATTCAATGGCATGTGTTTGGAGGTCAGAGAACAACTTTTAGGAGTTGGTTCTCTCCCTTCACCAGACTCCATGAGGTATTAAACTCAATTGGTCAGTAAGGTTTGACAGCAGTGCCTTTAGCCAGTTAAACAACTCACCTGCTACCTTTCCTCTTCTGATTGGAGGAGAACTGGAAATTCTGTACTGTAGCCTGAGAGGCAGGCAGTTTCGAAATAACTCAAGGTTTCCTTACTAGAGATGAGACTTCCATTAATCCTCACCCAGCAAGTATGATCCTTGCCTTGTTTTGACATGGAAATACACATTATAAAGTTTCTTATTTTTGTCGTTTCTATATCTTGTATCTCTTCTTGGTCTGTATTGTTACCACTGGTTGAACCTTAAGTATTTAAATGGTTTCCTATATTGTGGAAGATAATTTAATTTTGTTCTTATTTACATTTGAAAATCACAGATTATTATCTGTTTAGAGTAACTGGTAGAAGTGGCATCACATTGTAAAGTCTATGTTCATTGTTTTTGTTGTTGTTATTGTTAGTTAGTGTGTTTTTGTTTTTCAAGACAGAGTTTCTTGGTGTAACAGCCCTGGCTGTCCTGGAACTCAGTTTGTAGACCAGGCTAGCCTCAAACTCATAGAGATCTGCCTGTCTCTGCCTGGGATTAAAGGTGTGTGCCACCAGCTCTATCTTCATTGTTTTTAAACCTTTACTTTTCTTAGAGTCTTTCTTGATATTTTTCACAGAGTATGTATTTGGGGACTTTGGTGGGAATTAACAGAAGAAACCAAAGAATTACATAAGAGAGACCTACAGTAATATCTGGCTCCTAACAGTGGTGACTATTTTTCAATTCCCCAGTAGAAGCACAGAGTTAGAGACTGTATCTGGCTGCAGCTATAGGGGTTCAGCGAATGTCTTTGAGTCAGCAGACATTCACTATTTAACTTTTACCTGTACCTGCCTCATACGTTTATGGAAAAAAATAAAAAATTGTAAATTTTCAGGTATACTTCTACTCTTGGAGGGTTTCACAACTTGGTGTTTTATCTAGATTACCTGTGACCCGAAAAACAGTGAACTTCTGAATTTCTGAAAATAAATTTAAGGAGGTAAAATATGAGTCTTCACTCATATATACAAAATTACTTTTCTAGGGACATAATAAGTGTATGGATATTACAATGGAATTTATTTAACAATGTTTATGACTAGCTCTTTTCTCTGGTACATCAGAAAGCTTTTACTAGCTATTTTTGGGTTTCATTACTCTATCTGGTTAAAACAAAAAAAATAAATATAATGAAAAGTGGAATACTAGGGAGGTTGAGACAGAAGGACTTCAAATTCAAGGTCAGCCTGGGTTATATAGTGAGACTGTATCTTATAAAAACAAATAATAAATAAACTAGTTCAATGAAGAATGAATGTTTTTTCTATACCTTAAAAGTTTAGTGATTAGGATAATTACATAAATCAATTAAAGTAATTTTGATTTTACAAGGTCTCTGTGGTATTTCAGTTTTCTATGCTAAAGTTCTTATTTGTAAGATTTTTACTTTTAGGGCTGGAGAGATAGCTCAGAGGACCAGGGTTTGGTTCTCAGCACCCACTTGGTGCCTCATAATCATATTTCCAGGGAATCCATCATCCTACTCAGGTCTTTGCAGGCACTGAACACATAGACTGTACATACAAACATGTGGCAAAACATTCTTAGACATAAAATAAAAAAAATTTTTAAAAATCTTTTTAAAAGAGATTTTTCTTGTATACTTTTGGTTTTATTATAAAACCAGAGGATTTAAAAAAATTCATTATTGTTTGAATGTAAAATGTCCCCCACAAGCCCACATATTTGACTGTTGAATATCTGAATACTTGTAGAACATTTAGGAGGTCAGGGTCTATCTGGAAGGCAGACCTTGGAGGTCCTACTCCCCTCATCATCTCCAGCTTTTTGTTCTCTGGTTGGTGTCTTGTAACCAGCAGTTGTTGCAGGGCTCTTCTCCACAGACCAAGACGCTCCAGTCACAGCATGATGGATGGTGTTCCCTAGACTAGGAGCAAACTAATCTTCCCTTCCTTAAGTTGTTTGTGTCAAGTATTTGGTCACAATGAGCAGAAAAATACTGATACAAATAACTTCCTTTCCATCCCACCAAAAACATATAAATATTATTCTTATTAATTATTGTGTTATTATCACTTTGCAAGGTTATATAAGGCCATTCTCATGCAACTATATAATGTACTATGAGCATATCCTACATACTACCCTCCCCCTTCTTAATCTTTTCCCCTCCCATTAGTCCCTTTTGTTCCTCAGTTTGCTGCTACTTTCAAATATGTTTTTCTGAGACTGACTTAATTCACTTGATGTTAATATCTCTAGTTTCATCCATCTTTATTGAAGAAAAATATTCTTTCTATATTACTTCATACGGTAAATTATTAAGGCAGTAGTTTTCTTTATCCAGCTAGTTCCCCAATGACTGACAGAGAGATTATGATTTATTTTTAAACTGTAAGCACTATGAGCTACTCTAATCCTAGTTTACATTCTCATTAGCAATGTAAAACCTAGGATTTAAAACCCACATAAAAACCAATCACTTGCCAATCTGATGATTCCCAGGGGCAGCTTCTACTCCTTCAGTCTGTTCCTATAGCTACAGGCTTAGCTATCCTCCCAATGTCTACGAAAACACCTGTCTCCTGGAGGAAAAGCCTTTCACTCTCCCCTTCCCAAGTTCCTTTCTTCCTACTAGGAAGTCTTGGCTTCTACTTCCTGTCCTTCCACCCAGCTGATTAGCCAATCAGCTCTTATTGACAACTGCTACATCTACACAAGACATTCCTCCACACATCTTTCAAACAACATAACTTCATTCTTTAGAGCTGAAAAAAGTTCCATTGTGTATACATACCATTTAGGTTGGTTCCATAACTTAGCCATTGTAAATAATACCCTAGTAAGTATTGATGTGCAAATGTATCTGTGATATGTGGACTTGGAGTCTTCTGGGTAAATATTGACGAATGCTGCAGTTGATCATGTGATAAATCTACTTTTAATTTGTAGAGAAATCTCCAGACCGATTTTTTAAGGTGGCTGGTTAGTTTACATTCTCATTAGGGAACATAGAAAAGTATTCCCTTTTATCTGTATTCTTACCAGCATTTTTTGTTACTTGTTTTCTCAGTGAAAATTAGTGTGAGATGGAACCTTAGTATAGTTTTTGTCATTATTTCTCTAATGACTAGTCATGCTGAACATTTTTTTTTCATATTTATTGAACTTCATTTGAGACGTAGTTGAATGTCCACTCTACTAGTTCATTTATTGATGAAGAGTTTGGGGTATTTATGTTTTTTATTTACTTATATATTCTAGATACTAATCAAATATATAGTTAGCAAAGATTTCCTCCCATTCTGTAGACTATCTCTACTTTTTTTTTCTGTGTAGGTGCTTTTCATGAAGACTTATTTCTCAATTGGTGCTATTTCCTGAGCAACTGGAGAAAGCAACTACTTAGTCTTTTCTATGCTGATATCTTGCCATGTTCTTCCTTCATTTTCCTCTATTTCAGTTTTGTGTCTTATATTAAGTTCTATATACTCATTCCTGAGGTTCTACATGCTTTTATTTTTTTCTGACCTTACTGTGTAAAAATGAAATAAACAAACAATCCACCCACAGGTTTTATTATAAAATTTTAAGATGAAATTTTATGAAAAAAGTTTCTCAAGATCTTCCTCTGAAATCTGTATTAAAAACTATTTGAATATCTGATTTCTCCATGTGTCCATCTATACTAGAATGATTTCTTAGACAATATTGCTACAAACAATATTACTTTTAAAGATCAAATTTGTTAGAACAATTGGTGACAAGAGAGAAGCAGAGAAGCTTTAGCCTTTCTTAGCATTGAATTTCTGTGGTCTTTATTTCTAGGTCAGTGTAAGTTGCTACCAAAGTATGCTTTTGCTAAGCCTATTATTGAGAGTGATAAGTCTGAGTTTGCTGTTGGAACAACTTGGGAATACAAATGCCTTCCTGGGTATATTAGGAAGTCATTCTTTATCACCTGCTTAGAAACCTCCAAATGGTCAGATGCTCAGCATTTCTGTAAACGTGAGTACTCCTACAAGCCATGTTTAGCTCTATCACTTTATCGATGTAGGATAGTATGTCATTTTCCAAACAAAAGAGCAGTAAATTAGTATGTCATGGTAAAAGTAATCATAGCCTCTCTGTTTCTTTAACTTCTAAATATTCTGAGTACTAGGGTTTAAGTCATCTTTATGATATTATTCTGTGATTTCCATATCATATCAGAGTGATATTAGATATTTTGTGATGTTAGATATTGTGATATTTTGTCAGTATACAAAAAGAATATTAGTTTATCTCATTCTTACTACATTCAAGAAATAGTCTTTATTAACTAGCATGTGAGAAGCAGTAGACAGTAGATCTTGTAACAAAAGACAACAAAACTTACACATAAATAGTGTATAGATGAAAATTAAAAAAAGAACATTGCACAGGAAAGGCATCTTCTGTATCACTTAAATATATCCCCAGATTTTATGATGTTGTTTAGTAATAGAGGTAAATTGCTATTCAACCAGAGAAAAATAAATTCTATCTAAGAGAATTAGAGAAATTGAGGCCTTCTGAACAGAGGGGAAAAGTATGGAGGAAATACCTTTGGAAAGATGGAAAAGTATCAATATGGTGTGAGTGCCTATAACTCTAAGACTCTATACTTTCTTTCCTGTGAATAATGGTAAATCACCATACAATTTTAAGTAGGAAGTATAACATGACCATATTTATGATGTAAAAGAAAACACATGTCATGTTATGGAGGAGGTACTAGACCAAGGCAGGCCAGCATTAGAAAGGTAAATGTTACTCAACAATCCAGTAAAACTGTAGAAATATCAAAATAATGGGCTTGGAGAGAGAGAGTCTGGAATTCAGGTACTAAAATTTTGTAGCTAATTGAATTAAATGAAGGATTAGAGAATGAGTTACAGGAAGAAAATGAGGACTGGGTTTTAATACAAGAGGCATGGTAGATGATGCCATTAGCTAATAGAATCTAATAAAGAAAAATATAGAGAATATATATATAGAGAGAGAAAGAGAGAGAAAGATAATGTACAAAAATATAGAGAATATATTTTGAATAGTGTTCCAAAATTAACTGCTCCTTGAGAAAGTATATATTTTTACAAATGTCAAAAACTGTTTTGAGAAAACATATGCAGGCCCATCAACAACTCAAGTCAGGGAATTTAATAGAAAACACATAAAATCTTCTCAATCCCAGACCCAAATCCTGTTTTGTTTCCCTTGTAGGTAAATCATGTGAAAGTCCTAAAGAACTCCTCCATGGCTCTGTGCATATAAACACGGGTTTCAAGTTTGGGTCAACAATTACATATTCTTGTGATAAAGGGTGAGTAGGTAGGATGCCTACGCAGGTTATCTGGATACTGAAATAATAACCAGAAACCTTTTATATGAATAAATATGAAAGCATGGTCTTTTTGACCTGTTTCAGAAATGACACTTCAGTGTTGTTAAGAGGATCCTTAGAGAGAAAGATTATGGAGCTTCTTCAATTTTAAGTCTCCATTGCTATTGACTAGGAGGTCAGATCTCATTTGTCTATACATTGTTGAGTCTATTATATAAGTCCTTCTCTATCACCATTTCACTGCGTCTTCCATAATATTCTACTTTTTCTCATTTTTTTTAGTGGAAAAATATCAGGCTTGTCTAAAGTGGTATATGATCAATGTAACTGGTATATGATCAATCACCTCTTTGCTTCTAGATACCGACTCATTGGTGACTCATCTGCTACATGTATTATATCAGACAATAATGTAATTTGGGATAAGGATGTGCCTATTTGTGAATGTGAGTAAAATGATCTCTTTATGGCATCCTACTACATTTCTCTTGTTCCCTTCTACTCAGCAATTAAAATCAAGAAAATCATGAAATTTACAGGCAGATGGATGAAACTAGAAAAGATCATCCTAAATGAGGTAACCCAGAAGCAGAAAGATACTCATGGTATACACTCACTTATAAGTGGATATTAGACATATAATATAGGATAAACATACTAAAATCTATAGTCCTAAAGAAGCTAAACAACAAGGAGGACACTAGGGAAGATGCTCAATCCCCATTCAGAAGGGCAAATGGGAGAGACATTGGAAGTAAAAGAAGACAGGGAACAGGACAGGAGCCTACTACAAAGGGCCTCTGAAAGACTCTACCCAGCAGGGTATTAAAGCAGATACTGAACCTCTTATCCCTTTCTAAAGGGAAACTGGGCATCTGCACATAAAAATGATTACTAGATTTGGGTTGTTGTGGACATAGCTCTGACTGATCTTCTTCCAGGACCTCTGATTTCACTACACTTTCCCATTAATATTTTATGATGTCATTTAATGTGAGTAGATTCTTAAGTTTAAAATATGCATGAGATTACACACTGATAAATGTAACCATGCAAAAGTAGATCACCCCAAGAAGTACCAGAGTCTCTGTATTTTGGGATCACAGCTTTTTGACTTTTTATCAGCTGGTTCCATATTTTTTCCCTTTCTGGCTTATTCTTTATTTAGATTATAATACAGAATCCCAATATGATAGATAAGTTGTAGGTAAAGTTTAAGTTGGTTTATGGGAATGAAGACTACATTCTCAGAAAATGTAACATTCCAATTCTGTCTCTCCCCTTTCTTAACCACTTCTCTCCAAAAGCTATTCCTTGTGAGTCACCACCAGTCATTTCCAATGGAGACTTCCACAGCAGCAACAGGGACAGCTTTTCCTACGGGATGGTAGTGACTTATCATTGCCGTGCTGGAAAGAACAGGGAAAAACTGTTTGATCTGGTGGGTGAGAGGTCAATATATTGCACCAGTAAAGACAATCAAGTTGGCATCTGGAACAGCCCACCTCCTCGGTGTGTTCCTATAGTCAAGTGCCCATTGCCAGAAATTGAAAATGGAGTTGTGGAGTCTGGATTTAAACACTCCTTCTTCTTAAACGATACAGTAATGTTTAAGTGCAAGTCTGGCTTTACCATGAAAGGCAGCAGTATAGTGTGGTGCCAGCCAAACAGCAAATGGAGCCCTCCACTGCCAACATGCTTCAGGGGTAAGTTGGAATGAAAGCTTGAGTATCTGTAAATGAAATTTGAAGTTTTGCAGAATAGATACATGGTACCTATAGAAAAAGTAGAAGGAATAGATGACTGGATTTCCAGAATAAAAATTTTTGAAAGTAAACTTTGGAAGTAATATCTATTAGCTTTAGCAGTCCATGATCATGGGAGGTCTCTAACTGTTAAAGAGAGGGGGATTTTATTACATTCTGGGGCAGTACTATAATTGTAGGGAAAGGTATATTACACTTTTAAAAGAGGGTCAGAATGCTTTAAAGTAGAATTAAGGGACATGAAACTCTTTGAAGAAAATAGATATACTATTTAAGAACATTTAAATAGTCAACATGTCTTTGGATAAGATCATGGAAAGCATAGAAAACAATGGCAAAAATAGACTAATGGTATTACATAGAATAAAAATTTTCTCTACAACAAATGGAAACAATAGAATGAGGAAAGATGATAGAGTGAGAAAAATATTTCCAAGCTATGTATCTGACAAGGAATTAGTATCCGGCATGTATAAGGAACTAAAATAACTCAATAGTACAAAAGAAATTCATCATCAAAGTAGACATCAGAAATTTCTCAAAAATAAAATAAAATGGGCAATGAACATATGGCAAAATGTTTAACATTAATAATCATCAGGGAAATGCAAATCAAACCACAATGACTTCTCTTCAGTTAAAATGACTCATTAAAAAAAAAATAGAATGAGGAGATGGCTCAGTGCATAAACTGCATGTGGAAAGTACTTATAATCCCAGAATCAGGGAGGCAGAGACAGGCAGATGCTTAAGGCTTGCTGACCAGCCAGTCTAGCTTAGTTGGTTAGCCACAGTTCCCACTGAGAAACCTTGTCTCATAAAAACAAGACAATTACTTCTATGTGCATATGTATCAGTGAATACCCCCACATATATACACATACATGCACGTGCAAGCATGAGAACCTGAGCCCACTTCTACATATATAAAGACTCCTCCACTACGCAATATATCAAATGCTGTTAAGAATGCAGATAAAAGTCAGATTAGATAGAAGAAATTAAGTTCTGGTGTTCCTACAAGCAGAATTTCCACTGTATATTATGATAGTTTGCTGTATATATTTTAAAATCTAGAATAAAGGATTTTAAAAGTTTGCGAAGGAATAAGTTTTAGAAGACACATATATTTACCCTTACTTTTATATTATGCAATATACCTATTCATCTGAGTATCACATGGTATCTCATAAATATATACAATTACATTCTTCGAAGAATAAAAGTCATTTTAAGTCACAGTACAAAAGTTGATCATTAGAGTTTTAAATGATTGCATTTTATTGAAATGAGGATAAAATAAACTCTCCAGTGTTAGCCATATTAAGAGAGAGAATTGGCTAAGATAAGAACTTGATTTAAAATTTTGTAGACATCCATCTCGATATTAAAAAAGTAATTTTTGTGGAAGAAAGGTAGTAGTTATCTTGAGTCTGTGATCCCCATTTTCTCCTTTTATTCTTTTTTTCCCAGAAATTGGAATATTATAAAAAGGCATTTTTATATTCATAAAATGATATAATTTTTGCAATTATAGAAATGTCATAAATTATACAGAATTTTCCTTAATTACAGCTCAATGCAATGTGGCACTTTCCTCCCTCTCTAAAAAAATGAGAGAGAACAAATATATATATGTATATATATAATATAGACAAACCAAATACGAAAAAAAATATTTCCTCTTTGGTATAAAGTCACTTTCTTCTGGCAACAAAGTTCAGAAGCCTCACTAACCTTGTTGAAGTAAAAAGGATGTGGTGGTTTGTGTAGGGAAAGCATGTGTTGTAAAAGTTTGGTCCCTGTCGGCCCTATTGGTGAAATGATATCTCTGATTTTTAGCTGAATACAGTGAAAAAAATGAGTAATAGTAATATTTCCTGGCATGGATCAAGAAAGAGAAAGCAGATAGAAACATGGCTTTCCAAGTCTAACATGTTAGAGAAATACATCAACCCCACTCTATTGCCTCTCTCTCTATCTTAGAGTGGGAGAGCTGCCATGAAGACCTTTATCCCATCTTACTAAATCCAAGATAGCTGTAAGTTGTCAAGTATAAAGTTCTTATTTTAGAAATAAAAGGACTTTCTGGTCCTGTTCTTTTCTCAGGGTGTCTACCACCTGAAAATATCCACCATGGTGATTATAACAAAAAGGATAAGGAATTATTTTCTGTTGGCCAGAAAGTGTCATATAGTTGTGAACCTGGTTATACTCTCATTGGAATTAACCTTGTGGAGTGTACATCCTTGGGAACCTGGAGCCATGCAGCCCCGACATGTGAAGGTCTATGAAACTTCTGCTCTATTCAAAGGAAACAACTGTTTCCTGATTCTTCATGTGCAAGCCTTCTCTTTTCTTTCCTAGTGAAATCATGTGATGCCATTCCAAACCAACTTCTCAATGGCCATGTGTTTCTTCCCCCTAACTTCCAGCTTGGGGCAGAGGTTTCTTTTGTTTGTGACCCAGGGTGAGTGTGAAGTGATAGGTCTTGCACTGATTGTTTCCCATAATGATTGCAAAGTATGACTTCTGAAGATAGTTAAATTTTTTATTTATTATTTTCTTTCCTTTTTCTTGACCTTTTATGAATAAGAATTCTGTCATTAGCTAAATCCATTTTATTTTCTTCAAGTTTATATATTTTGTGCTTGACCAGCAAAAGTGGGAATTGTCATTTCATCACCTGGAAATGCAAAGTTTTGGTTCACAAATCAAAACTCCTGTTATACAGAAAGAATATAAAATTTGGATTTAGTGAGACATGTTGGAGTAAACTTGGGAAACAAGGTCTTTACTATTTTCTCTATAGGAATTGAGACTGTTTTCCTCAAGATGATAAGGATAACCTTGACATCTGGATGCCAAAGAGGAAAGGAAGAATTCAAAAGAAAAGATACAGTTTTAATATTTTTTTAAAATGCATTATTGATTCATTGTTTAGTGGAACAGATTCACAAGAATCTGTGACCTTTTTCTTAAGCCAGAAATATTTAAAATACATACCACCCTATGAATATATAAGAGAAGTGATTCACTCTGTATTGTAAAGTGGTTTGTTCTCGTGATGATTTGCTGCTCCTTATTGTTTAAGGTTCCAGTTAAATGGCAAATCTTCTAGTCAGTGTGTCCCAGAAGGAGAGACAGTAATCTGGAATAATAAGTTTCCTGTCTGTGAACGTGAGTAGAAAATAAGGATAATCAAATATGGATTTTTTTCTCTTGATTCTGTATTCTAATGCAGCTTTTAAATATAACATCCTACCCAGTTATGCACTTTAAAAAAATTCTGCTTTCCTCTGTTTAAAATGCAGAAATAAGCATTAAATCCATTCATTTGTTGACCTACTATGTTGTGATTCTATAAACAAAATAATAAAGGCTCTGGAAAGATACCTGTACCAAAATCAAGCATAATCTTTTCTAGTGTAATAAAACACTGGTTGTGCCTTTATATGTCATTCCTTATACAGAAGAACTCTACTTAGTACCAAATGGACATTAACTGGAAGTGCAGACACTGACAACTTTCTCTTTATTCTGCAAGTTACTCAGAAAATATGAACATATGTCATAGTTATAATATGACACATAATCATATATTATTAATTTCTTTCATGACACTAGGATGTGTAAAGAATATGAGATCATTACTCAAAACATCATTTCTATGGTTTTCTCAAAGGAATCTGGCATTAAAGGATTGCAAATGACTTGTAATGATGTTACAGTGTCATAGGTGACAGTTATCTAATGTGACTATGCTACCTGCAAGCTGTGTGTGTGTGTGTGTG